ACATACCTAATCTCAACCACAGCGGTGCGCCTGCGACACACCATATCTCAACTCCAGCGATGCTGCTGCGATATCGTACTCATTTTACACGCACGTGCTCACGAACGTACTCTGCTGTACACTCAGAATGTTGCCGAAGGGACCCTCGGTGATTGAGTTGACGGCCTATACTGTACGTAAGTCAAAAAAAGATTGGAATTCCTGATTGGTCGATGAAGTTGAGCCGTGCGGAGACAGCTCAACCTCGTGTGAGACAGCGCTGGCACGCTGCCGCTCGGCCTCGCGTAGAGGTCAGGGCGCGCGGGAAAATTCGGCACCGCGCAGGGCTGCGGACAGACGAAAAAGTCCGAGCGAAAAGCGTCCCTAAAGGCTCGAAGCCGTCGAAAAAGTGCTCTCGGCGCACGAGAGAGCAGCATTCAAATCACTTAGTTTTAGAGTCAAGATCTACGGAGATTTAGCTTAGCTAAAAATACTTACCTCTATGCAAATTCGACGTGGGTGATTGTCTATGCTTTTCTCTGTGCTACGTATGCCTAATATTTTTACATGTCGAATTGGGCGTGGCATCCACTATTTTTGGGCCGGTCTGCCGCCTACTGGTGCTGCTGCCGCTGCCTGATGTGGTTCGGGCGGTGCAAGACGCCGCACCCGACCGTGCAGCACGTGGGTATGTATCCTCCCAGTCAATGCTCACCGTGCTTGTTGTCTTGTACAATCGCCAGGACATTCGCTCACTCACTTGAGTGGTGGTAGAAAGCTGACGTGAGAGGTAACGAGGGGATGGCGGTAGATGGGGACCAGATGGGGGCGGATGGGGGGGCTTCTACTCAAGTTCAAAACAGGCTACTCGATTCAAGTGCAACGCGTTGAAGTGTCGAAAGTGACCTAATCGACATATTTTTCTCAAAGATTCTTGGAAAAACAGCCCAAAAAAATAGTCCAGCGGGTGCGGTTGGTTGGTGATGCCGAGGCCGGTCCGCAGAGTAGAGCTACAGACACTTGATATCAACATTGGGACAGCGTCGTCGTGTTGTTTGTAGAAAGTATAGACTACATACTGGGTGTGGCGTGTAGCCCCTTCGCTCAACGCGACATACCTGTTTGATGGCACAATGTACCGACAGCAGTAGCGGCTCCTTTGTGTTCGTGCTGTGAAGAGTATTCTATCATAGAAAATGGGAGATGGTATAATACCAGGGGAAATCCAGGACTCTAGCTAGATGCACATACATGCATATAAAATCTGTGCAGCGGGTAAGGCAATCAGTCTGCACTTTGTTTCGCACGAGACCACCGAGAAAATGCGCGCAATATGTACGTGCAATATCGCGTACAGTGTGTGTGGCAGATTTTGTGAGTCAGATTCTCTCTGGAGTATGTACCTAAAAGATGGAATGGCGCCGGTTGGCGGGGAGCAGCGGTCGGGGAAGTGGCACCGGCGTCCGCTCAAACACCACCAAGAAAAGCTTTGGCCGCCTTGGAGAGGAGGGTTACGAGTTCATCGATGAATTTGCGACACATGCCGTGGGAGGAAGGGACGGAGGAACGATGGTTCTGAAAGGAGTCTTCAAGGAACGACTTCTTCAGATCGTTTCGGTGGCTACACAGGTGGCCATATCTCGGCGAGTGCAGAGGTACAAGCTCGCATTGCGCGGGCGTCAAGACGCCGAAAACAGGCGAACAAGATCGACCTCGGACCAGTCAACGCCAATGATATGGGGATGGAGTGTAGACGCATCGTAGAACGCGTTTTCGTTTGAAGTTGGCGTCTTGTTTGAGAGTAGATGTGACAGATTTACGTAGAATAGGGTAAGATGATAAAAAAAATAAAAAAAATAGGGTAAGATGTTATCATGAACGGAGATGAAAGGGCTTTTCCAACACGGAGATGTAGCATGGATCAAAGCATTTGTTGGATTTCAGCTTTTACAAGCGGACATCAACGCAGTAGTATTTTAGCAAGCTTACGAACGCATATAGGATACCATCAGGATTGTCATTGGTAAGTTGAAGAGGAGATACTTTTACGATGTAAATGACAGTAGAAATAAGTCCTACATATGTTGTTGTACTTTGTATTGGTTTAATATTCATGTAGAGTATGAGACATGAAGTGAACGTTTTCTGAGGTACATCTGCAATTGTCGGAAGGCAAAAAAAAAAAAAAACAGCTTGAATTAATCCTTTTTCCGCGACTGGGTCGGTGAGATTGCACCCGGTGCGATCTCGTCGACCCTCAAATCCAAGATGTTTATTTTTTTTCTCTTTCTGAGCTGTATAGTCTAGAAGCCGAAGTGAAACCCTTAGACTATAATAATAGTCAGCTGGTTTGAATTTGGGTTCCATGAAAGTTTGGTGTGGGTTTGAGACCCAGGCTGGACACTTTGAAGTGGTGTATTTGCTGAGACCCTGGATACTCCTGGCCAGAGTATGGGTGACGGAAGAACCTGTGGACCCTGGAACATTCTGCAGGATATGGATGGCGAGTGATATGAAGCGAAATAAAGATTGGACGGATAGTACCGCTGGCAAGGGGAGTCACCCTCCTCGGCAGTGAAAGTGACGGGGCTCACGAACCCCACGACTAACATTTGAAGAAGCCGAAGTCAAACCATTAGGCTCGTCAACGCTGACTAGTCTAATGGTATGATTTCGACTTCTTCTATAGCTGCCGGAAAAGCACATGTGCAACACGTGTGTAGCTTTTATCTATGGGTACAATGTCAGCGGAGCGCCACACTCTATTCTGTACGCAATGTGTGTAGACTTTGCTATGTATGTATGTATGTTGCTCGCGCGGGATGTTAGTTGTTTTCACTTGTTTTGTGTAGAAGTTGTCGACCGTCCCCTCAACCAAAGCTCAAGGACACACATAGTCTACATACATACAGGTTATTCTGTATTCGTAGAGCAAGAGACCGAAACGAAAGCGGTAGACTACCTGTCTGTCTGTCTGTGTGTTCCGCACCCCAAATGGAAATCACGTCTTATCACGACATTGCCAACCTCGCATTCAACACTCTGATCCTCAAGCGTTTCGACCAATAGTTCTGTCCAAAAAGCCCACTGCCTTTGAAAAAAAATAGCAATAAAACCAATCTTGTGTGGCCTCGTGGCCTCCTCCTCGGCTTTGTGACCCCGGCTGACCTTCACGCGAACACATCATATACGTACGGCAGTGAATGGCGCAGTCCCTACTGAGAAACACGACATCCATCTATCTTTATTTGTTGTTTCGGCTATGGCCCAAAACCGTATCGCTTCCTAGCAGAGGACCGAAGAGTGAGACAGCACCACTTTCGTGTGCATGTCGCCCGGTACAACTAGACTAATGCCGGTATTCTCCCTGCGCCATGAGAAACGGTTGTTTCAATTTTTGGATAACCTTCACCTCAACTCACTCGTTCATTCTTGCAAAAGAAGATACGTACATACACATACACCAACCAACCCTTGACCCCCCCCGTTTCGTATTTTGTACAGAGTACATTTTAGCCATTGGCTCAAGCGTTGCCTACAATGACATGTCTGTCATGCTCGGGTGCTACGTGTCAAAGCAAAGGCAAGGAGAACACAACCCCTTTTTTTCTGGTGGTTACTACTCACCGTTCCTGTGACTCACTGCCACTATCTATGCGTATTTTCTTCACTATGCGTACAGTTCGTACATAACTTTGTAATCGCTGAGGTGCCCCTTGGTCACCGGCAATCTTGTCCGGTGTCGTTGTGAAACACTTCAATCTCCGCTGCTTCATTTCTTCGCGTGTGCAGGTGGCGCCAAAACACAATTGAAAATGTGAGTTTATGTCCACCACATAAATACGAAACCGATGAATCAATCCTTGCTGCTAGAAATAGTAAATAAGACAGACTTGATCTAAGGATAAGGTGGGCGTGATGACCCACGAAGGCTACACCAAAACCATATAGTCTAAGTCGATGCTGGGTAACCCTACAGAGAAGAACAAGAGGTATAAGAAGACAACGAGAATAGCAGTGAGGGTAGGGCGGCTTCCTCGTCGAGACATCACTCGTCGCCTTCCGTCCTTCCATCCACGCCCCCCTTGTTCGTTTCTAGCGGAGTGCTAGGCATAGTGCCGGTGGAAATTCCTGCTATCATCGTCGCTGCAGCTGCTTGTTCCTGCCAACACGGTAATTTATTGGTTTTGAGGGAATCGGGAGAGAGAGTGATTAAAGGTGGCGAGCACACGGGCGTGGGACTTCGGCAAAGTTTTCATCATTATTAGCAAAGTTGTATTGCGCTAGAGCGGTTGTCGTGTATTCCCCCCCCCCCCCCCCCCCCCCCCCCCCCCCCCCCCCCCC